TCAGAAAATGAGCCTCAAAACCGAACCCGAACTCGCTGTTGAAGAACAAGATTTCCGATCCGCCCCAACAGAGGGCTCCCAGTACCGTAGGCTTGCAGCTTGTGGAGGAGGATGCGGTGGTCTAAGCGCTCACATTCTTTAGAAAAGTTGAAATACATGGCATTCATTCTGGTCCTACTATCCGCTCTTTCGGTCCAAATACCACCACCAATCACTATGTTGGTGGTACGTGGGCGATGTTGGCGAAAGCAGTGTTTCCCGGACGCTATGATGTTAGATCGTTTTAAAGAAATCATTATTGCCTCAGCTATGATCTACTCCATCAACTTTGACAGCACTGTGTGGAGAAGCATTGGGCAGTAGTTGGTGGAATAAGAAAGGCTACCACCCTCAAAAATATGGGTAACGATAGACTGCTTCCACAAGCTAGGAACCTGCTGATTATCCAGGCACCTTCGGCAAAATGGAGTTAACGGTTCAGCTATACTAGCAGCTGCTACCCGCGGTGCTTTCGCGGGAATGCTGTTAACTGTTGAGGAACTATGGGCACTTGAAGCTAACGGCTTATTCAAAACGGTCGTTGTGCTAAACCTGATGTGGATAAGTCCTGTTGTCTGAGAGACTGGGACAGGTATTCGACACATACTGCAGGTGCGTCGGAATGTTGACGGATATTGCAAAAGTAGCATTTTGGATGTATCCTCGGTGTTTGGAACACGTCCATTTGGTGACCTCGGTTGGGGAATGCCACACTTCACATTCCTGAGGTTGCTCATATGTTTGTAAAGTAGCTCGTTATTGGTCCAAAGATTTTCCGATAGACGCCGCTGGTGTACGAATTTGATCTCACAGACAAATGGGATACAGTGATCACGCGGCACTACATAGTTGCTCCAGTTGTTGGGGCAAGCGTTAACTCTGTATGCACGCCACACTGCGCCCCTTACCGCTATGTGTTTTCAGGTTCTGCTCCGAATGGACGATGATACACTTGCAGAACAAAGGGGCCTGTTTTCCGATGAGGATGTGATCCGTTCACTGAACTTACCAATTAAGTTCATTCAAGAAGTAACAATGAAACAGTCACTTGGAAACTCACAGAAGGCTTCTTCAACCAGCTCTGTTAGCATGACTAAAGCGTAAATTTTCGTGTTAGGTCAAGTTGTCCCCCCTGGAAAACCCTCGTATTATGTATAGTTGTAAAGTATTGTTCCGTGATCACGCAGCTCCAGAGAGCTCTGCTGCTTTGGTTTCTTGTTTATGAGCTATCCCATCGTGAGCACTAAATCGAGCACGGACGGTCTACTCCACGCTTTGAATCGAATGGACGAACTAACATGCATGAAGAGCGGAATGCTTGTAATCACCTCTTGTAAGTCAATCTTGAACTGTTCGTTTAGGATGCCGGAAAATCCTGATCGGAAACATTAACTACATATGTGATGAGAACATAGCTGTAACTTGGTGCAGAATGTGAATGAGACACAATCACGCTTGCTTCCTTGCAGTTGTATATTGTCTCCCAATGTGCACCCCAGAGATGGATTCCCGCATGACATGAGTCTTGGGGAGAGTCCTGCGACCAGGTTACAGCTATGTTCTCATCTCAGATGAATGTAATGTTAATGTAGTTTAACTTTAGAAAGCTTCGCAATTGCGCCATATCACAATTCCAATACGTGCCGGACATACGAGTGCTAACATGTACAACATGTGGACAACTGCTCATACTCAGTAAAGAAGGTATGTCCTCGCTATTACGTGCGTGGCCCTTGCCAAACGGTTGGAGTTGTCGATCTAAAAGGGAAGCCTGTTGTGACAACCGAATTTGTTCTCTGTCTGCGTTTTTCAAAATCCCGCACTGAATACAATCGAATCAAAAATCATTACATTTATGGATGTTGCCACCCTCGAGTTCTCTTAGTCACGTTAAAATCTGAACAGCTTTCTGAGTGAATGTATGAACATGGCGTTTTTCGAAATCTGCTTAAGTTTCATTGGACTCTTAGTAGATATAAGTTATAATGAACAATGGGCTTGATGACGATGACATAGAGTCGCTCTCTAGCTTAAACGTATATAGAACATATGGAGCAGAAAGCATTCTGGCCAGCATGTAATCGGTCACCTGATTCACCATCAAAGATCATAACAGCCCACAAGGCACTGTGTCCAAACCAATGTGACCGGCTTTAGGATCACTGACCACTCACTTGTGTAACAAGAGGTGAGTACGTAACGGCTTCTGTGTGGACTGCTACCGATTACTAAGAAGACGAATTAGCTATCCGGCTCTCAACAATCTTCATATTCACGACTAGCTGGATGTTCCAACGACGCGCTTTAATGGCTGCGCCACCGTGCGGGTCAAGTCTTTAAAACCAAAGTCTCCGGGTGGAGTCCCTTCAGTCAAGCATCTTCCTTGACCTGGGTAACTGGTAAAATTTTGCCCACACAACAAATAAACCTTTGTGTCCCTTCCCCTTACCGTACTTTGTGTTTTGTGATTACCCATGGGTTATGGCATACTACCAACTGTTTATTGCTGAATATATATATATATATATACATACATATATATATATATATATGGTTGGCGGCATCCGGTTTCGGATTTGCCTGTCACTGTGGCAAGCCACAGGACGCCTGCGCCTACAGAGGGACCATGGATGGCTTGCGCTGCACCACCTACAGCTCCAACCTCACACCACATATCCAGTGTAAACCCGAAGGAATAAGACCGGGAGGCATGCGGATGGGAGCCACGTTTCATCAACGGAGCCGGCCCACACTCCTTCACAGGCAAACACAAGCACGCTGTATTTGGGAATCAAGCGCACACAAGGCGGTGGCTGGACCGTAGTCCACTCCACACTGAGTGCATGGAACCACTCTTCGAGCCTAACACGGCCACAAGGACCGTGCACCCCGTCCCCTCCAGCAACGACCAACTGTCTCCTGGAACCAGTATGGACGAGGTAGTGGGTAATAGACAGGTAGGCACCTTGCCAACATGCACATCAAGCGCAGCCAGACCGGGGATATCAAACAACAGCCAATCACTTGAGAGAGAGAGAGAAAGAAAAAGAGAAAAACTCGATTAATGCATAAGCAAACGGTGACATAAACCTTAATTAAATAGCATACGTAATAAGTTGTTTACAAACAATTCCTAGCTAAGTGCACGAGGTCAGGAAGTATAGTTCACGGAATGCCACGAACACAAAAATGTTATGGAAATCGAATACAATTGGCATAAGCGAGGTGTGCAAGTTAATGGAATATAGTACAGGGAGATATTTATATGAGGAAGAAAAGCATTAAGGTAAAAACTGTAAACCCATCACCTGAAATAAAGAGACTTAGCATGCAAGCACGCGGTTAGTAAATCGAATTCAGCGTGCCTACAAACGCTGTGCCGGCTCGTCGTAATTCTCTGCAGGACCCGTCGTCACTTCTGTAGTGGCCCCAAATGGCACAGCGCATGGCCCACACCTGAAATATATATATATATATATATATATATACATATATATATATATATAAATATACATATATATATATGCAGTATTCCGACTGTTTAAATTTGTCACACTGCCCAATGTAACTGAGCTGTCTGAGGAAAGTGGGTGGGTGGGCACAATTTCTGCTTCCTTCGGAGTCAAAGCAGCCGGTTACCTTCAGTAACTTAGAACCACGGTGAGAAGTCGATAACTCTGTGACACAATCATTTGTGTTGTCACCTCAATACCATGGATAATAACCGGCATGAATATGTATTGATTCATTCAGTACACATGTTAATGATGGTGGATGCTTTCGGATGTGGAGAAAACCATTGTCGATTCAATGGCTAATTCAAATGACGTATCACCGTTAGTAGTCACATGGGCATTGTTGAAAGCGAAGGTTATCCTCTGATCTACATAGTGCGCACCACAATGTGTAGAATAACTTCAAGGTGGGTGTGCGTAGCTGCTCTTTATAGTTATTCTCCTAGTCTGTTTCTTGAGGCCTTTGGCTCCAGGCACTTCCAACTTAGTACTCTTTCAATGGTCGTGTTTTTCACGACTCCAAAAACATCTTGTTTGTCCTCGTGGTCAGTCACTGGCTATTTCGTTCTGCTGCAAAGTCTACCCAGCAGCTAGAATCTGTCGTGGTGCATTGCTCGATAGCCAAGGTGTAAGATATTGGTTTACCCAACCATAGTGATTTCGTCAAAGCAAAGACATCGTTGTACACTACTTTTCACCAATGATTCACAATGGACACCAGCACCTTGAAAGGTGAGGAGAGAACATGGTGATTGATGTGAAATGAAGCATCACTGTTGACAGTTTCCGTCCAACAAGCATGTTTTGTTAATAAAGCTTCCTCACTCTTACTAACTAGACATCCCCGGATAAGGTATTAAACCGTTTTCTAACATAGTTACGATGCCGGATACAGTAGTCCACAAGCCATCGACAAGATCGTAATTCGATGCTTGACTGCCCGTTTGGCACCAAAGATTTTCATCAACATAAAGATTGCATTAAACTCGGAAATACCGGCTATTCATATTAACGCATTAATGAAACCAAACGCAATACTTGGTCCCAATAGAAGCGAATGTTTCATTTCGCGTAAACCTTTCCTCTAGAGAAGTCTCCTCTGTTGTACAAGCCGTTGGTAGAGAATCAGATGCTCTCTGACATCTTTTCGCCACATAGATTTTGGGAGAGTAGTTTGCTCTCTTTAAAACTCTTGTCATATTACCTGCATGTCCTAGCTGCAATTACTCAGAAGACGATAACAGGAGAAAGGCTTAACTGCCCTAAAAATACTGTCGGTTTGTAAACGCTGTGAGTATTTAGTGGGCGCTAGCTGCCGCATGACCACAAAAGCTTGAGGCCCTTCGGAAGTCAAAATAACCTTCAGCTGGTTCGCAGTAACTTGTGCTTACGCATCCGTCTTTATCGTTTCTTTTGCTAAACGATATTCATCCTTATCTGTTACAGGTGCCTTCTTGGTCCCGTACCTCGTGATGTATATATTTGGCGGCCTACCACTTTTTTACCTGGAACTGGCGCTCGGACAGTTTCAACGAAGTGGTTGTATAACGGTTTGGAAGAGAATTTGTCCAATGTTTAGCGGTAGGTCTCATAATGTTCCCTGACCACAAGTAACTGGAAGCATTGCCCTAAAATTTACTTAATTGCTGAGCTGGTCAGATGTTCACATGCTTGTATACAGTGTTTAGTCAAGCGCTTCATTAACACGGCTAGTGATCTCTTAGAGATGCAGGAAATTGAAGGTTTTGTACCTGCTCTAGCAATTATTTTCGTCGACCACTGTGAACTAGTAGAATGCTGTTTCGGTTAAAGTTAAACAGAATTATTCCGAAATGCAGCTTTTATTTCCGTGGCTTAATCCATAAACTCTCATGTTACATTTAGTTCTGAATAAAGTATCCAGTTCAGCGTGAGCCGAATGGTCGTTCTTCATTAAAAGTTCTTACTACCGGGGACGGCGTATTTTGTATTTCTAGATCAGCCTGATTAGACTGCTAATATGCAACGCTAAAGAGCAATTGTTCAGAATTAATGAGAAAAATGTGTTGCAGTGTCGTTAAGCCACAAGAAGGCTTTGAACTGGAGTGGATAAGTTATCTTTGTTTTCAGTGAGAACAATGCACCCATTCAGTTTAGCGAATGAACCAGTAATTGGTGGCAGTAAATTTTCGACCAGGATAATTTATGCTCTTCGAAATCATTATTAAGGGGCAATTTTCATCCGGCCTCAGCTTCCCCATTTCCCATACTTGCATTTGATGTTTGCGATGGGAACTAGCAATCTGTTGGCTGCAATCGAGCCTGGAATTTGGTTGCCGGTCATTCTGCGGATTTATCTGGACAGTTAGATGTTGGCCGTCCTGCCTTCTGTGAGATACACGAGGGTAGGCCAATCTTCCATAGTTTGGGAACTAGCTGGTAGGCAATTCAAAGCCACCTATATTTATAAGAAATTTCAAAGCACTATAAGCACCCTTTCTGACTGTACGTTAGTTAGCTTGTCCTCATAAAGGAGTTGGTATTGACTCCCGAATCATGCCCTACGCGACGTACATTTGTTCGTAGCAAAAAAGCGCTACCTGAAACTTAGAAGCATTTGTCTATATGGTTAGCCCGTCTGTTTCTGGCTTTGCCTGTCATTAAGGCTGCGAGCATCCAGAGCACACTTGTGCCTACTGAGGGACTAGGGATGGTTTGCGCTGCACCATCCGCTGCTCCATCCACACACTACATATCCAATGTAAATCAGAATGGATAAGACTGGAAGGCAGGTAGATCACAACTGATTATGAGCTGACCCAGATTCCTTCATCATGCGCGTCATTCACATGATTGGGGGGAAACACGCATACCGAACCTACACAGCGCAGCGGCTGCGCCGTAGCTCGTTTCTTACCAAATGGAATCACTCTTAGAACCCAGCACATTCATTTGGGATCTCCTGGAGCAGTTAGTAGTATTAGCCCCTTTCGCATCAAGCGAATCAGGTCCGGGATCTCAGTCAAAAATGCTGCTAGCCGTGCGGCAACGCAAACTCGTATGTGCGCTACGGGCTAACTGCAGCGAGGATGCAGCAAATGTGCCACAGCTGCCGCAGTATTGATCCGGGTTAGTGACTGAAACCGAAGGCAGTTGGATTACCATATGCTGACATTTTCAACTCAAAGTACTCATCGTCCACTAGATATTGACTCCTCCTGGCCACGTTGATGGCTTAATAGTAGACCAGTTGGGCTGAGCTGAACACGACCACAGCAATGGGATGAAGCCGATGAGCTCGGTTCCATCGGTTCTTGTGGCTTGCGCAACTGGCGTTTTGCATTTTAGTGCAACAGAAATTTCTAATGTGCATTGGCAGCAGCATTCTTGATGCGAGCACACCATTGGCAGGGACCCAGCGCCATTGCTTTTAAACAAGTAATGTCAGTAATAGTTTTGAGAAACTCGCCTTCATCAACTATAGCTTGCGTACATCTAGCCTGCTTGCACTCAGATGCTTATTCAGCACACGTTCCCTGGATTCTGGTTGCTTCCGACCGGTGAACATGGCTGCTTCAGGTGTTATATAAACATCATACAGTCAAGCTTATACAATTCGCTCCGGCGAGCCATTTCTGTGTAAGGTACTCTCTCTCGCACCAATGAATTGGAGGAACCTGGTGCAAAAATTGTTGCTGGAATCGTTTCAGATATCGTCTGCTCGTTTCCCTGCCGTAGCAAAGTATCGATATTGCCAATGATTTGTACACTAGAAGCTTACTCCTAACAGTCAGCTGATGCTTTATCTGCACTTGATGTTCCAGCTTGTCAAACCCCGCACACCTTAGATAAATGTGTGCCTGAGTTACACAATGCACTGATCATCCTCAGGACTACTTAACAGTGTCCTACCGAAACAGGAAAATACTGATATGTTGCTCAAAATCCCGCCAGTAACGTCTAATCGCGGGCAGCTTACAGTATCCCTTCCTGAAGACGGCTGGAAAAGGCACACCATATTACCTGTGTCGACGATGAATCGGAACTTGGCCGCCGTCATGAACTTTCATGTCATCAGTTTAACACGTCTAGGGACCAACCTGTTGATGAGGGCTGTAGACTCACTGCGTCCGATGCGTAAGCAGTATTGCGTAGTTGCCGACCAGCTATCTTTGGAACAGGTGGACCTGACATAGAACGAAGGAGCGTGCCAGTCGCGCATTTGTGTATTCTTGGATTTGTTTTGCTGTTGCTCAGCCAGATTTTGTCGCACCACACCCCATCTATACTTACGTGGTTTGCTTTTACTAGTTCTAACTTGTGATACCATTTTCTCGAGTACACTACAGTGCATCCTACATTTACCCAGAATTCTAAATTCCGAACAGTATTTCACTGAGATCCAAGAGCAAAATTTGTTTAACACTAACCATCAGGGACATTACTTGGTCTCACTCGATATAACATTGCAATCCCTTTCGAACAAACTCTCACTCGTTAAAGTTCTACATTGTTTGGGGCAGTTACAGGGCAATTTACGCTTCGCCCAGTGATCCCCTGTCAGTCTTTCGTCGAATTCATCTTGGGGCGATCCAGAAGCCAAAGCACAAAAATTCACTATAAAACCCTCGTGTGATTTATCTCAGGCGCAAGCCGATGTATTCGACCGGCACGCCAGAGTACAGTTTGCAAGCATGCAAGTGCAAAGTGAAGCCTGTGACCTTGGAAACAGCGTCAGAAACAGTGAAAGCTGCTAATCATCAAGGGGGAGTCATTCCAATGGTTCGTAGCATTCGCGCAATGAGCGCGATACCAAGCGCACGTTAGCCTAAAGACATATGTGGATCACTTGTGACACATGTGCCAAACCTTTCAAAGGAGATATACCGAGTCGCGTCTGTTGCAAGGTATTTCATGCGAAGTGCCTGCTAGTGAAAGCTAGCCAGGGCAAGTTATTAAACAAATCAGATTCTGTCTGGTTCTGCGTGGAATGCAAGTCCATCGCACTGATAAATTGCACACAACTATGGTCTCAGAACCACGACCAGCTACTAGCCAAGTTTGTGGAATTGGTGACTACCAAAATCATCACAGTTGAGGTAAATATAGCGAACTGTGCATCCCAGGCCTCTCCCGTAAGTGTTGCTCCAAAACTGAGAACGGCTAATAGTACTGTAAGCAACATAACCCAACTAGCCCAGAAAATCAACTACCCTCTCAACGACACACAGGCTGCTCACGTTCGACTTATGAGGTTTTCAGTTAGATCTGAGTAACTACACGCAAGCCTTTGTCTAGTCTCCCGACTGAGTGCATAACAAAAGAGTAGGCCAGTACTAGTAAACGTGGAGTTACAGTTGCTTCCAAGAAGGACCAACATTTAAAATAAGCAGTGGATCGGGAGTTGAGGAGCACAGCGGAGTAATTCTGATGCAAGCACTACCGCGTTCTTGCGGTACATCCCCGAGTACTGCAAGCACTACCAGTGATATTTCGAAAGATGCAAAGGAACAATAATCTGTACTTCTGGTACTGTGTACAATGTACCAGAATCAGAGTCGATGTTAATTAGAAGCAAACAATTTGCTGACCTCAAACAGTGGGACGTCATTACTAACCTACTAGGAGCTGTATTGAAACCTGTACATGTAGTGAGAACCACGCGGTAGCCAAACGCTAAGCATTACTGGGAGCCAAGATTGATGTGCTTTGTTCTGCTCCAGCACCGAAGTAGAATCAGTTCTGCTGTCGACTGGTCAACTTAGATCTAAACACTGCACCTTCCGTGTCTTTCCAGACATTCCAAGTAATGAACTTTAGCGAATTAATCACAGCTTAGAAAACCATCGTAAAGGAACTCTAACCTGAACCATTCTTGTGCACGGCGTTCACGAAACTGAAGCATGTGATGGGCATGAAAAAGGGTTCTACGATAAGAAACAGTTGTGTTGTATTCGGGAAATACTCTCTTTGAACGATGTGCTAGCGAACTTGGTGTCACGGCCGTGCACCTCACCGAAATAAAAAGGATGTGGCCCAAGAGGTTCGATGGGTGTCCTAAAGTCCAAGCATATGGTATCAAGGCTGCTGTAAAGCTGGTGCATGTTTCGATGCAGACTGTCATCTGAGCTTCGACTGTAGGCAACGAATGATATGCCCCTAGAGATGATATATCAGCAAAAAGAACCAAACGCGATATAAACTATGTTAGCACAGTGCTCCAGTAGGGTGTTTGGTGAATCCATGCAACCTGTTGATAAGCTAAGTGGCCAGATACCTTACGTTCTACGTAGAAGAATAGGTATGGGAGTAACTACGTAGCGGATGAATAAGACGATGAATAAGACGTTGATACAGTCCCTAAGCAGCCACCAAAAAAAGCGATTAGTCGCCGGCCACTCACTGGTCAGTGAAACTTCTCTTATGAATTTCACAATCTCCGACACATTGCTGAAAGCTGACAGACTTTCATGTATGTATATTAACGCCCAAGTACTCCTATGTAAACTTTTTGGACTTCAGGTAGGTCAGGTCATGAATGCCTGAAATCTAATTTACATTAGCGAACCCTGTTAAACCAAGAAGTGGCTGATGCTGAGGTT